TGAGAGAGAATCATTAATTGGCTACCTCCTGCACGCCTCCCTTCCCCCCCGGGGATTGACATTGACAACCCAGTCATATGCCCAGAATTGAACCCGGGACCCTTTAGTCCGCAGACCAATACTCTATCCACTGAGCCAAACCAGCTAGGGCTGATTTTATTTTTAAGTTCAGTTTTCAGCTTTGTTGACTGGCAAGGTTTTCTATTAAAATACAAGGGATAGAGTTTAAATGGAAAGTGAAGCCAGTGTTGCCTTTTGTTGGTTTACCTTGTGAATAGCATTTGAGAACCTAGAACACACATCTCTTAATTAAGCTGTTGTGTCATTTTGCCTGATATTTGTGATGATAATGTCTTTCTCCTTGGTCTCAGGATAGGCAGAGAACATCAGACATAGCAGCTCAACTTAACCTAGCTTGCCACTTTGATTTTGACTTATGGAAGACTATTCTCTCCACAGATTTTTGCAGCTCAAGTAGCAGTCCGTCTTTCCAGCCCATCAAAAGCCATGTGACCATTCCAACAGCCCATGTGATGCCTTCTACTTTGGGGACCTCTCCTGCCAAGCCAAATTCTACACCTGCCAGACCCTCTTCCTCCAAAATCCCTTTGTCAGGATTGGCTGAAAGTGTGGGGATGACAAGAAATGGAGACCTCGGTGGAATGAAACATTCTCCAGGCTTATCTAGAGATTTCATGTATCATTGTGGTACTGCTGGAGAAAATGGAATTGAGCGGTCTTGGTTTCCAGCAGTGGGCCATGAAAGAGAAGAGGAGATGAGGAAGTTTGATATTCCCAGCATGGAGTCTACCCTTAATCAGTCAGCAGTGATGGAGACACTTTATTCAGATCCTCGTTACAGAGTCCACTTCCACAACCTAAGAACCGACCCAAACAAGGAGTTATACAAAGGGTTGCCTGAGACCAAGAAGACACCAGACAGTGGTGTGGTATGTGAGCGGAATGGACTACATCCTAGCAGCAGTGGATTGCTCCCTTTGGGACTCCAGCCTGCTCCTGGACTCTCCAAGCCTCTATCCTCTCCGGTGTGGCAGCCAAATTCTGACCCTTGGAATCCCCGAGAGCGGTCTTGTGAGCTCAGCACTTGCCGGCAGCATCTGGAATTGATTCGTTTACAGATGGAACAAATGCAGGTAAGTAGAGGTGCTTCTTTCCTTGGATTTTGGGGTTTGGTACAGATCTTTGAACTTGTGTAGGTTGTGTCTTCTAAGTTTTGACTATAAAGAAAACATTTATAAGTAAGAGGGGAAATGTTTATAGATAGGAAACAGGCTTGTGGATGCCATTGAATCTGTTGGTGGTCTAATTAAACACCAGATAGGTTCTCCAAAGTAAAGGGTTAAAGAAGACCCAAAAAAAGTCACTAGGCTAGATACTTTTACACACAGAATCTTACTTGATCCTTATAGCGTCTTGATGAGGTATATGTAGAAATTTACCATATTCTTAGACTAAGTAATTTGCCCAGTGTCACAAAGCTGGTTATGTGACAGAGCTAGGGTTTAAAAGTCTTTGAATCCCTATGCTTTTTCCACTATACCAGTTTTGTGTTTTTTAAAAAGTCCATATGCTACTTAAGAGTGGGAAGGAAAGAAGCTGAACATATTCTTTTTTCATAGTTTTTGGGGTTATCTTAGCTCTTGGTTTGCTTCTGTTGCCAGATAATGAAAGATAACTGACCTTTTCTTAGAAACTAGAGCCTTTCTGAGCTGTGTCCAGTTGGCTGAAATCTCCCTGGCAGGTTCCTTCCAGTCATGCATCAGAGCTAAAATTATTTCGTAAACACTGGGCCTTCTTGGTCTGAGCCAAAATGAGCCTTGACTACAGACCCAGGATACGGCTCAGGTGTTTTCAGGTGCCTGTGAGTTAAGATCAAGCCCCTTTGGACCTGCTTGTCTTTCAGCTTCAGAATGGAGCCACCTGCCACCATCCTGCTGCATTTGCTTCTTCACTGCCCATGTTAGAACCTGCTCAGCTGGTCAGCATCTTGAACAGTAATGAACACCTACTAAAGGAAAAGGAACTCCTCATTGACAAGTAAGAGAGCAAAGGGTACCTACCATAGGCCAGCTTCTGTTCTCTCAGCCCCCACTGAGGACACTTAATGAATTCTCAAGGGAAGTACATTCCCCTCTGTTTATGTTCACTCCTTGCCTCATGGTAGAGCGAGGTTGATAAGCAGCCTAGTCCTCTAGCTGACTGATGTGATAGACTAATTATGTATCTGCAGGGGTCTGGGAGTGCCTAAAGTAAGCAGCAGGTTCTTTGCAGCTGATCTTTCTTCTTTTCCCCTCAGTCAGCTTTCTCATTTGTTCCTCCTCCAGCAAAACAGTACTGCCCAGAATCCAAGGTCCTTGCATATATAGTATCGATTATATCCATCTAGGGAAAGTGGGGGCTTATGTTTGCAAGTTGGTTAGAATCCTGGACCTATTCTTCTGGCTTTTGCAGACAGAGAAAACACATCTCTCAGCTGGAGCAGAAAGTGCGAGAGAGTGAACTGCAAGTCCACAGTGCCCTTTTGGGCCGCCCTGCCCCCTTTGGGGATGTCTGCTTGCTGAGGCTGCAGGTAAGCATTGGCAATTAGGTTGGCATTCTGCTTGTATCTTAGCTATGCTTGGCACTGTTAGGTATCCAGGAAATAAAAAGAAACCAAGTGATATAAGGTGTCCCTTCCCTCAAAGAGTAATAAACATCCTAATTATAAAGCATCTCTTGTCCTGCCCATGTGAGAGTAAAATCAGGTGGAAGTCCAAATGCTTTGGTGTCAGGACATACTTGGGAGAAAAGGAAGGCAGCGCAAGGTACATCGTAAGGTCCTAGAGTCGGGTGATGTTCTGAGAAGTCTTAATCTACCAGCCCTGGTCAATGGAAGGAGAGGCAGATGTAACAGTGTATTTAGAGCCATTTTAATTTTTATCTTCCATGTGTAGGAGCAACTAAAGTTTGAAACCATATTCTTGCTGAGGTCAATGGCTCTAGAAGAAGCCAGCTTTGTTGGCCAAGCTTCTCTGCAATTTGGGCTTTTGAGTGATGGATATAGAGAGATTATAGTACTGGTTTTGCCACCTAGTTGGGACTGTTCCATCTTATAGAATCAAATCTATATCTATCTATCTATCTATCTATCTATCTATCTATCTATATATATAAAATTCTAAGTGACCGTTACTGCCAAACAACTGGGATGACCTGTTGACCAGTTGCTATGAGAGGGAAGGAGAAGGAGGGAGGTGGGGAACAGCGCAGTGGTGGGGTTCTGATATGGCGTCGGTGTCCAGCGTCCATTCCTCCCACTCCTGGCCTGGCGACCATGGCCTCCTCTCCTGACCCTGCTGGGACCTTTGGGCCCCGGGCTGGGACGGGAACTGGGGGAGGTGGTGGTGGACGCAGCCCCTTTCCCAGGGGGCCAAGGGCCGGCTTCCTCCTTGGGGGCCGGCGGCCACCCTCCCTCAGTCCCACACTCCCATCCTTTCCCCCAGCTGGCAGGCCTTGATCAGCCTGGCCCCAATTGGCCCGGTGGCTAGCCAGGTTTAGTGACCCCACCTGTGCATGAATTCCAGGCCTCTAGTTGTTAGATAAAATCTAGTTCAGTTCTCTAATTTACTGATGAAAAAAATTTGAGGCTCAAGAAAGGAAGATCCTTTAGATTAGAGAAAGAGTGCAGGACAATCAGGCCTTAAGCCCTTGAGTTGAGGTCTTATATCTTTCCTGTGTTCCTTCTGTTATATTATAACTCCTCAGGTATTGCCTTACGGCAGTGGTTCTGAAATGTGAATGTGCATCAGGATCATCTGGAGTGCTTTTTTATTTATTTTATTTTTTTATAATACATTTTTTAAATATATATTTTATTGATTTTTTACAGAGAGGAAAGGAGAGAGATAGAGAGCTAGAAACGTCGATGAGAGAGAAACATCAACCAGCTGCCTCTTGCACACCCCCTACCAGGGATGTGCCTGCAACCAACGTACATGCCCTTGACCGGATTCGAACCTGGGAACTTTCAGTCCGCAGACTGACTATCTACCGCTGAGCCAAACTGGTTTCAGCTGGAGTGCTTGCTTTTTTTTTTTTTTTTTAATATATTTTATTAATTTTTTACAGAGAGGAAGGGAGAGAGAGAGAGAGCTAGAAAAGTAAATGAGAGAGAAACATCGACCAGCTGCCTCTTGCATACCCCCCACCGGGGATGTGCCTGCAACTAATGTACATGCCCCTGACTGGATCGAATCTGGGACCTTTCAGTGCGCAGACCGAGGCTCTATCCACTGAGCCAAACCGGTTTCGGCTGGAGTGCTTTTTAAAAAATATTTTTTAAATTGATCTTCAGAAAGAGAGACGGAGAAACATTATGTGAGAGCGATATATAGATCAGCTGCCTCCTGAATATCCCCTCCCTGGAATTGAGCCCACCACTCGGGTGTGTGTCCTGACCAGTAATCTAACTGGCAACCTTTTGGTGCACGGGGCAACACCCAACCAGCTGAGCCACTCCAGCCAGGAACCTGGAGGGCTTTTTAAAACACAGATTAAGACCCAACCCCAGAGTTTCTGATTCAGTGGGTCGGAGAATGGGGTCAAGAATTTGCTTTTCTAACAAATTCCCAGGTGATACTGATGCTGATAGTCCTAGGATCACATTTTGAGAAGCACTGCTTGAAATTTTCAGAGAAAGATAATATTTGACCATGAAGTCTGCTGGAATAAGTAAATTACATGGGACTGTAAGTGTAAGGAATAGATATATTGAGAATCTTTCTGCAGGAATTGCAACGAGAGAACACCTTCTTACGTGCACAGTTTGCGCAGAAGACAGAAGCCTTGAACAAGGAAAAGATCGAGCTTGAAAGGAAACTTTCTGCTTCGGAAGTTGAAGTCCAACTCATCAGAGAGTCTCTCAGAGTGGCGTTGCAGAAGCATTCAGAGGAGGGGAAGAAACAAGAAGATAGGGTGAGCTAAGGAGCTAATAGCTCTCTAATTCATTAAGGAGTTGACAGTCAGCATTCTCCTTTCAAACTCTTTGTTTCTTAGAACCAGAGGAGCCAATTGGGTCAGACCCTGCATTGACTTCTCATGCAGAACTGGTCTGCTAGAAATGGAACTCCTTCTTTCCGTTTCGTCTCCACAAAGCTACCACAGTGTAAGCCCTCACTGCTTCAGGTGTGATGGGCCACCAGGTGACCTGGGTGGAAAACCAGCCTGAGCAGTCATACCAGATGCTACTATTGCATGATGTTTAAATACCTATGGTAAATTTGCACCATTCAGCCTGGTTTCTCTTCACTCTACCTAAAAAGGAGAAGAATTCTATTTGTGCAGCCAGCTTGGGAGTTTTTACATTTTTGCCATTGCTCTTAGAATTATCTTTGAGTGAGCTTGGTTGTCATAGAAGGAGCTGATTGTAAATCTTTTTCTTTTATTTTTTTAAGAGAGAGTAGAAGGGAAGGGGAGAGAGAGAAACATTGATGTAGAGAAACACAATGATTGGTTGCCTCCCACATGGGCCGGAGAACCAACCCAGGTACTTGCCCTTGACCAGGAATCGAACCCATGATCTCTGGTGCATGGCCTGCTCTCCAACCACTGGGAACACAGCCTGGGCTGATGTAAAAATTTTTGGTTCTATTCACAGCTTTCTCTAATGCCGATGTTCTGGCAGTTGGGGCAGTTTAGTAATGTTTAGTTCTGGACCATGTACATCAAAACCAACTAGAACAGTTGCTTAAACTTTAAACTTCAATGTGCTTAAAAGTCACTTAGGGTAAGTTTAGAGTTGACTCACGTATAGGCCTAGTTTTAATGTTAAGTTTAGATTAAAGTTAAGTATAGTTTAGGTTTAGGGTTAGCTTGGGCTAGGTTTAGGGTTATGGCTGAGAGTAGGTATAGGGTTAAGTTCTGTTAGGGATAGGGTAAGATTTAGGGTAAAGGTTTGGTATAGGTTGAAGCTTGGTATAGAGATAGGGTTAGTGTTAAGGTTGGATTTCAGTTTGAGTTTAGGTGTAAGGTTAGTTTAGGATTAAGTTTAGAATTGAGATTAGGTATATTGGTAGAGTTAGTGTTAGAATTAGATTAAGGACAAAGTTAAGAAACAGGTTTAGGGCTATGATTTATATTAGGGTTAAGAGAGGGTTAGGTATAATATTGTTATGGACTAAAGTTAGGTATGGAAGTTAGTATAAGGTTAGGATTGAGGTTAGGTATAGCATTACGTTTTGAGTCAGAATTATTGAGTTTGGTACAGAGTTAGGATTAGATATAGTATTAGGGTTGAAGTTGGTTTAGGGACAGGGTTAGGGTTGAGGGTAGTATAGAGTTATGTTTGTGGTTAAAGTTAGTGATAGAGAGTTGAGTTAGGTCTAGAATTAGTGTTAGGATTAGTGTTGGTAGATATAGGTTTGGATTGGGATTTTGGTTAGGGTTAGAGTTATGAAGAAGATTTTATAGTGCTGGGATTAGGTTAGGATTAAGTGTAAGATTAGGTACATTGTTAGCATTAGTGTTATGGTTAGGGTGAAGTTTAGGTATGGAATTACTGTTAGGATTAGGTTTAGGATCATAGTGTTAGTGTAGAGTTTGGGTTAGGGTTGAGGTTAAACATCAGGTTAACTTTTGTGTTAGGTTTAGGGTTAGTGTTGAGGTTAGCTATAGTGGGTAGGGTTGGATTTAGAGTTAGAGATAGGGTTGAGTTTTGGTGTAGGGTTAGAGATAAGTTTAGGCATAAGGTTAGGATTTCTCTTGGTGAGAGATGTTAGAGAGTTTTTTGGTTAGGGTTTTTAGTATTAGGGTTATTAAGAGGGTTAAGTATGCCCAAACCGGTTTGGCCCAGTGGGTAGAGTATCAGCCTGCGGACTGAAAGGTCTCAGGTTCAATTCCGGTCAAGGGCATGTACCTTGGTTATGGGGGCACATCCCCAGTTGGGGGTGTGCAAGAGGTAGCTGATTGATGTTTCTCGTCAATATTTCTAACTCTCTATCCCTATCTTTTTCTCTCTGTAAAAAAAATAAAAACATATAATTAAAAAAAAAAAAAAGAGGCTTAGGTATGATTTAGTGTTAGGGTTAGGTTTAAGTTGGGCTTAGGTATATGGTTAAGGTTAAGAGTAAGGTTAAACTTAGTTTCGGTTAGGGGTAGGAAAAGTAAAAAAGATTTACTTGACCCTAGCCAGTTTGGCTTAGTGGATAGAGCATTGACCTGCAGACTGAAGGGTCCCAGGGCACATACTCAGATTGTGGGCTTGATCCCCAGTAGGTGGCATGCAGGAGGCAGCCGGTCAATGATTCTCTCTCATCATTGATGTTTCTATCTTTCCCTCTCCCTTCCTCTCTCTGAAATCAATAAAAAATATATATTTTAAAAATTACTTGGCAATCTTGTTTAAAATGCAAATCCAGTTTCAGTAGTTCTGGGAGGGGAAGAGGCTCTCAGGTGATATTGGTGCCTCTGGTACAACAAGGACTTTGAGAGGCTTGTTATAAAAGAAAGTTAGCCGGGCCGGCGTGGCTCAGTGGTTGAGCGTCGACCTATGAACCACGAGGTCACGGTTCAGTTCCTGCTCAGAGCACATGCCCAGGTTGTGGGCTTGATCCCCAATGGGGGTCATGCAGGAGGCAGTCAATCAATGATTCATCATTAATGTTTCTCTCCCTCCTCCTAAGCTCTCTGAAATAAATAAAAATATATTTAAAAGAAAGAAACTTTTAATCTAAATAATACATATATCTAAGGTAAATAATCAAATACCAATAAGTTTATAATAAAAGTAGTTCTATGCCTAGTCCACTCCATAAAGGTATTTATCTTCAACTCTTCTCTTTCTCTTGATATATACCTTTACATATATGAATAGTATTCTTTTTTTGCTATTTTGCTGTATTTATTTATTTACTTAAAAAATATTTTTAATGTATTTTTATTGATTTTTCACAGAGAGGAAGAGAGAGTGATAGAGAGTTAGAAACATTGATCAGCTGCCTCTTGCACACCCCCTACTGGGGATGTGCCCACAACCAACGTTCATGCCATTGACCGGAATCGAACCTGGATCTTCCAGTCAGCAGGCCAATGCTCTATCCACTGAGCAAAACCGGTATCGGCTAAAAAAATTTTTTTATTGATTTCAGAGAGAAAGGGAGAGAGAGATAGAAACATCAATGGTGAGAACATTGATTGGCTGCCTTTTGTATGCCCCCTCCTGGGGATTAAGCCCACAACCCAGGAATGTGCCCTTGACTGGAGTCGAACCTGGGACCCTTCAGTCTGTAGACCGACGCTCTATCCAAACCAACTAGGACTTACACTGTTTTTATTTCATGGATGCAGTTAACTTATTTTTTTGATTATATTGTTATACCTTTTGGGATATCTGCACCTACTTATAGTGTTTCTTGTTTCCTTCAGGGCTTTTTATTTTCTTTGGTGGCTTTCATGTTGGATATTCATATTTTAAAAGGTAGATGGAAGCTCTGGGTTCATGGTAGTTGCCTGGTAGAGTTGTCTATAGTATGTTCAGACTTAAACTGTCGTTTCTCTTGTGAACCTTCAAATATAAGTGTCTGCATGTCTTTCTCTAGAAAAGAATCTTCAGCCTGTTCCATGGAACAGCTGGGAGCAGGAATGCTTTTAGCCATTAGGTTCTTGACACTGAGAACAAGATTAGGTTTAGAGTCCCACAGTTCTGTACATTGATTTTTACTTATACTTATTTTCAACTTCACTCTTTGCCTGCTGTGATTGATATTTCTGAGTCTGGAATCTCTCATTTAATTTTTCTAGAGATTAAATCTCCGTTCTCCTCTTGGGAAAACCTAGGATGAGGATGGTATCCAGCTAAATTGTATATAGACTTGCAGTAAATCCCCTATTTTTCACATCTGTGACTGAAACCTGCCTCAGGAGTACCTGGTGCCTTCAGTACAGAGGTCATTGGGAGTTGTGAAGAGCACATTGTTTTCTAAATTTTAATTCCCACTGCAGATTAAAACTCCTCTCCAAGTCATTTATCCCTCCATCCACTTTCATCTTCTGAAAATATATTCAAATATCTCATATACTTTGTCTCCTTCTCTGTTGACTTTTTTGTTTGTTAGTTTTTATTGATTTATTTAGAGAGGAAGGGAAAGGAAGAAACATCTACCTGAGAAACATTAATCGCTGTCTCCTGCACGCCCCCTACTGGTGTTTTGTGCCCTCACCAGGAATCAAACCGGAATGCATGGGACAGTGGCTAGGGCCAGACAAATTATTTATTATGCAGAAGTACTTGGGCAGTTTTTGAAAACAACCCAGGGAGCTCTTCTTCCTTATCTTTGATTGGAAAGTTCAGGTGTGTTAACTCTGCATTTTATCCCCTAACCTCAAATGGCAAAATTTGAGCCACTTCCTGCCTTCATTGTAGTAGAAAAATATTTACAGCTCTAAGGACAGAGACAATGGTCAGTTAAAAAAAAAAAAGTTTATTTGTTTCCATTGTATTCATAATGTTCTGTTATACATAACATTAAAATGTTCATTAGAATAAAATAAAATAAAAATAAATAAATAAAGTTTATATTCAGGTTCTTGGAGGATTCGATGGAGGACAGATTCTAGACATTTCTTTCCCTAGGTCAAGGGTCGTGATAAACATATCAATAATTTGAAAAAGAAATGTCAGAAGGAATCCGAGCAGAACCGGGAGAAGCAGCAGCGTATTGAAACCTTGGAGCGCTACCTGGCTGACCTGCCCACCCTGGAAGACCATCAGAAGCAGAGCCAGCAGGTAGCAGCAATATCTGGGCATACTTGGGCAAGCAGGGAGTGGCCAGGTGGACTTTCTCCGCCTCTGCTGTATGCAATTACCCCGTGGTTTCCTGAAAGGAAAATCCCCAGTCATGTCAGGACACAACTGGAGTAGAAGTTTTAAAAGACCCAGACAGTCTCTTTTAGTTTGTTGACCTAAGCATGAAATCCTGTCTCTCAGCTTAAGGATTCTGAGTTGAAGATCACAGAGCTGCAGGAAAGAGTGACTGAGTTGGAGAATTTGCTGGAGGAGACCCAGGCAGCCTGCAGAAAGAAGGAGATTCAACTGGAAAGTCTGAGACAGACAGAAGCAGAATTTCCCACTGGACATAGGTAAAGATCCCTATGAGGTTGAGGAAGTGGGGAGCTAGGTTCTGGTCCTGGCTACTCCATATTACTTGTGTGACTGCTCTGATCTCTACTTCTCTGAGCTTCGTTTTGTTTGGTTTGTGAATAATAGAAAAACGATCTAGGCCTTTGAGATGGAGTATGGGGGACATAATGGTACAATGAGAACTTGTCATTTTATCCTTTAATAGGGGTATCGAACTCAATCAGAGAAGGGGCCAAAATCTAAAATCCAGCCTAAATCGCGGGCCGAATGGTTTACTGAACAGTCATAAACTGTCATTGTGATGGAAACGCAGCAGAGTGCAGTGATGACAGCGAGGTGCAGGCCACATTGCGGGCCAAATCCGTCCCGCGGGCCTTGTGTTTGACACATGTGCTTTAGAAGGTCCAATCAGTGCCTGCCATAATAATCCTAGATAATAATCCTAAGTATTTGTGTTGAATGAATGAAAGCACTTTATAAGCTGGGAAATAAGTTGTCTGTATATTTGTAAAAGTAGATCCTGGTGCTGAGAACTGGGGGTTATCCACATTTTGAACCTTTTAAGCTAAAGACTACTAGCAGAATCTGTTTCTCCTCCGCACTAGGGATTGCTCTTGATTGCTACAACAGGTTCTGAGAACCAAACAAAATACCATAATATTCTCTCAGGGTGTCTTGGGAGCCTCCTTCATATTAATAGCAGTTTCTGAAAACATGATGGCTGAGTTTCAACAGCTTCTTGGACCAAATTGAGTTTCTAATGGGATGAATTGGATTTTTCATCCCAATATACCACAGTGAGCCTGTTGTTTATCTTAGCAGATGGGCCAGGATGAAAGTGACTGTGAGGATCCTTTGGGGGAGATCATTGTTTGGAGTCATAAGTGAAGTTAGGGGACAAAGTTGATTCTGCTCCAAACTATGTATACCAAGAAAAAGGGAGATTTTTTGTGTTTTCCAAAGTTCTACAGTATACATGTATGACTTTTATCATCTAAATACATGTGATGAATGTATATTTTTAGATATCAAAACAAAGAATAAAAGCCGTGGGCGGGTGGCCATTGTTTAGACATTGGCTTCTAAGAAAGAGAATTCATATAGACTAAGTAGTTTCAGGGTGGCACACCTTCCATTACAACAGACCTAATGTATCCTCAGCTGTGGCTCAGAAGGGCCTAAGTGTTTTGTCCCAAACATACAAGCAGATCAGGAGTCACAGCCACATCTCTCTGATTTCAAACTTCTTAAAGAGGCCACTGTCTTTCAGCCTGCAAGATAAGCAGTGTGTGGAGGCCAGTGGAGAAAGTGCAGCCCAACAGGAAGAAGGTCCAAAAGTGGAAATGGAGTCCTGGCAGAAGGAATGTGATTCTCTCAGAAAGGTGACTGAGGGTATCCAGGCTGTAACAGGTGGTAGGCTAAGAGGAAAGAGAAATATGTATATTGGGAAGGAACCATGAATTTCTGGCCCCAGGCCATCTATGTTACCCAGAGCTTTTCCCTCTTTTCCGAGAAGTCACTCTTGCATGATAAGTTTGCATTTTAGGTTATTCATCCTTATGACAGGTAAGAAAGTGATGGGAGGACATGCCTCTGAACATTCAGACTGAATGCTCCAAAATGATAAACTTCACTCCTTGCTCCAGCCCTCTACAGAATCTCTGGCACTGGACAGAGGTCTAACCACTGATATGGCCCTAATTCAGTAGAGAAGGAGCAGTCCAGGGCTTGTTGTTGAGACTGATCACAAATCAGCAAAAAAGAAGACCCAGAAATAGTTCAGAGAATACCTGAGGTCTCAAAGAACAGGAAACTGGGCCTGTACAGGTCCTCTCCTTCAACATTGAGTGTGAGAAGGCTATAAGTAACAAACATCACAGCCCTGGATAAGGCAGGTTTTGTTCAACTGAATTTTTAGTCATGTCCTTGATCAAAGAACAAGAATGTATGCTTGCTATATATAAAGTTAATTCCACTGGCCTACCATCATCAGGGTGAGGTTGTCTCTCACCCCCAATAGTAATA